TAGTCTCAAGAATAGACTACTGTAAGGCTCTCTATTTGGAGCTTCCTTTGAGACTGATGTGAAAGCTTCAGATGGTCTAGAACACAGCTGCCAGGTTATTAACAGGGGTGAAAAGATTTCATCATATTTTCCCACCCTGGCCATGGTTACCTATCCACTTCTGCATCAATTTCAAGGTGTTAACTATTACATATAAAGTCCTAAACTGTTTAGGCCCTCGATACCTGGCAGAGCACCTTCTTCTGCCCGTATCAACTGTTCCAATCAGGCTGGGCGGCTGAGGGGCCTAACACCAAGAGGGATCTGAAGGGAAAAAACTAAAAATTGGGCCTTGTCGGTAGTGGCCCCTCGTCTCTGGAATACCTTACCTTCAGAGATCCACCTGGCCCCTTGCTTAGGGCCTACAAGACCAACCTGAAGACATGGCTATACAGGCAGGCTTTCCCCACTGCCATTACCTAGCCCATTTCTTTCATTTTTTCCCTCTTTTTCTTTTTCCATCTTGGACTCTTTGATTCATTCAGATTTTACCTTTAGTTTATTTTTTTATGTTTTATGTAAACTGCCCAGAGTAGAAACGTTCTAGATGGGTGGTATATAAATTTAAAAAATAAAATAAATAAATAAATATTTTACTATCTCCCTGAAGAAATCTAGCTTTGTTATTTAAAAGGCCCTTGCCTAGTTCTATCCCCACTGGCTACTGAGAGCTTGTGGAAACAGAGGTACAGATGTGGACTTTTCTGAGTCTGAGGATAGTGGGGAGCCAACATCATCTGGTAGTGAGGCCATGGGGGGGGAGTATGAAGATTTCTCCAAGCAAACTATTTCCCCACCAGATGCCTCCTTGATGTATCTTTGAGTTATAGACTCATGCTATCATATTTCCAGTGTGTTCACCTGCTAATTTGTATTTCAAATGCTGGGCTCAGTTTGATTATTAACATGCCTCTTCTATGTTGTATCATGAGGTTTAGAAACCTGTGTGTGTTGTACGCAGTAGACAGAGGAAGCAACCATGTTGACAAATAATGCAGGAAATGCTTCAGGAATGGAAGGACAGATTCACATTCTTTTCTGTTGTCTAGATCAGTGGTTCTTAACCTTTGTTACTCAGATGCTTTTGAACTGCAACTCCCAGAAACCCCAGACAGGACAGCTGGTGGTGAAGGCTTCTGGGAGTTGCAGTCCAAAACTCCTGAGTAACCCAAGGTTAAGAACCAGTGGTCTAGATGATGTAAAATCCATGTGAATCAGCGCACAGTCTTTTCCTCTGATCTGTAGTTTTTCCTCCACAGTTTATGCTTCTCCTTTTTTTGGAATAAAATGCATTCCCAATGGTTTAGACAGTGGGATGACTTGAACCGATGTGGAGGTATTCACATCGAGGTTTGTATTCTATTTGAAACCATTCTGACTGGCCACAGCAATAGTGAAAGAGGCAGGGCAGTGGGGAAACTGGCTACCTTTTGAATCCTCTTGTCTCTACACCTGGTGCCAGGGTCTGCTTGCTTTCACCTTCCCTTTTCTTTCTTTTCATTTCTTTTTATTTTAAAGGCTCTCTGCTGTAGCACTAGGACAGTGTGACTGAACAGAGATTGGGGGTGGGGGAGGAAATTGTAATTGAGAAAGTTTAAAGGCAAGCAAGGATCAAGCCAACAGGTACCAGGTGTGGAGAGGAGAGGATTCAAATAGTTAACAAGCTGCATACAAGTCTAAGTGTTAATATATTTCCCTGTCTCAGCTGATTCCTTTGTGGTTCACTGAAGCCAATCAGCCTAAGGAAACCTGACTTACTGGGTGTGACCTCATGGCAGATTTGTTCATATTTTCCCTGCTGTGTAGTCATACCCTGGCTTGGTTATACTTCTTGACTTTGACTATTCTGATTTAATTTAACTGATTGCACAGTGTACCTTTTCTTAAAATAATCTTTTTTCCCTCTCCCAGATCGCCTTTTCACAACACAATACCATCATGGACCTGGTGCAATTTTTTGTTACATTCTTCAGGTAATATTTCCAGACTCAATAAATCTACAATATATGACACATGTTATAACAGAAGGTGAATGTTCTAACCGTTTTAAAACTATTTCATTAAAAAAATTATAGAATTCAAAAATCTGTTATGGATTTTAAAATCTATTTATAAACCTCTTACTTTTTTTACTATTATTTTAACATTTGTTATAGAAATCATATTGTGCATGATTCTCCTGCATGCAATCTACATGTCCTGAAGTGACAAAATGTTGTGATCAGTGATTAGCTGTATCTGTATTGAATGTTTTCCTGCTATATTTAAGGTTCAATTTTTTCCCCAGAACAATTTGCCTCCCAGTTATTGGTGGAAGATTTTATTGTATTTAAATTCTTTTTTTCGGTCACAGTTCACTCCTGAAACATGAGATATGGTTTCTTTTGTTTTAAATCATTGGTCAGAATCCTATTAGTTACTGAGAGCATAAAGCAAATGGTATACCCTTTCATGATGAATTGCAGGAAGTCATGAATTCAGTATAGACATTAACTGTTGTATGCTGAGTTGTGTAGTTCAGCACACAACATATAATGCCTATGCTGACATCATAAATTGCAGTAAATTCACCATCAAACATTATGTTCTTTGTATTACACCAGCATAAAATGGCAACAGCATAAAATGGATAGGTGGATTTATATGGGAAAATGAAGAAGCACCAAATATAGTCGTAATTGTAGACGTCTTTACCATATGCTGTTATCTCTATACCACATAATTTCTTCATGCTACCTCTGGATTACATATTTGAAAAGAATTTGCTTTATATTATTATCTTTTTTAGTAATTGATTGATTGAATATATTGTGTCGTACTCTACCTTGCTCCTTTCCCATGTGTGTTCATCCTGCCCTTTTCCAATATTTTTAGGGTGCATTATATTACATGCCTGGTGTGCTCCGGTTCATGGGGTCACAAAGAGTCGGACATGACTTAATGACTAAACAACAACAATATTACATATACTGTATGCTTTTTGGACTCCAGTTTTCTGCCCCAGTACAATCACATCTGCTTCTCTTTTTTGCATTTTTTTTTGCACATATAAATAGGGAAAAAAATCTACAAATACTCCAGTTTACATCTGGTTTTTTTTAAAAAGACTCAATTTTCTTTTATCATTCATGAGACATTTATAAATGTCACACAGCAATCAAGTTCATGCACAATTGTCTGCAAGAAAGCTTCACTGAAAATTACGATATGTGTTTCTGACCAGACATGTACATGAGTGCATTGTTAAGTGGTGTTTATAGTATTCATTGGGTAAATCTCTAATATTTTATTCCATGGGGAAAATTCTTTCAGCAAATAGCTTCTGTCTTTCGACTTTTCTATTTTGACCCAGTTAATACATTGATGGAACTAGAAAGGTGTCTATATTTCTTACGAGACTGATTCTGGGCAAAGTACATAGAGAATTAGATTCCATTCTTTTTGAGTCTCTGAAAACAAAGACGGGTTACATGTATCATTAAAGTTTTTGCAAGAGTGATATAAATAAGTTTTTGGACAGTTTATAAATTGGCGTAATGTGAGCATCAAACAGAGCCACTTCATGTTTTTTAAGCAAAATGGAAACACAAGTATGCTTGTTAGCTTGACCATAAACATGTCCTTGGAGAGTCTTAGTGCACCAAGGCGTCATTCCTATTGTTCACACTCCTTTGTCAAACAAGAAGCTCAGTGGGAATTGATTAGCATTTTTACCTTCAAGTTCTAAGAGAGGTTGCCTTCTTCAGGTACAGTGCTTCCTATGAGGCTAAGACATTCTGCAGTTGTGTATTAATGGTTCCCAAGGAGCACCTTTTTATATTAGATCATTTTATTATTTGCAAAAAAGATCTCATATTGTTCTGCACCCTGTGTACTTTTCCACTGTTCTTCTTTATAGTTTTTAGCAAATTATATTCTAAGAACTCTTAGAATTTCCAGGTGCTTTATCTTACATATGTTTTTCACTCCATTTATTTCTTTGACTGGTAACCTATCCCCTCTGTTCTTCTTTATAGTTTTTAGCAAATTATATTCTAAGAACTCTTAGAATTTCCAGGTGCTTTATCTTCCATATGTTTTTCACTCCATTTATTTGTTTCTTTGACTGGTAACCTATCCCCTCTGTTATCAAGTTAAAAACAAACATTAGATTATCTAAACCAGGGGGGTTAATTCCAGACAGATTTTTAAATTGAGCATTTCAGCCTTGTAGTGCAGAATGTGGACTTGTTGAAATGCACAGTTGGGCATAATGGTTAATAAATTTAGGAAAAAGAGAGAGAGAGAGAAATTTTGCTGTAGGCAATGTTGCCATTGTATGTTAGGGGTAAATGACAAGCTGTCTGCTGTCTCAAATTACCCTTTGCCTTTCTTTCAAATTTGGTAGGAATGGATGGTGTGAAATGAGTGAGATTGAAGAAACATGCACAGTTGGGCATAATGGTTAATAAATTTAGGAAAAAGAGAGAGAGAGAAATTTTGCTGTAGGCAATGTTGCCATTGTATGTTAGGGGTAAATGACAAGCTGTCTGCTGTCTCAAATTACCCTTTGCCTTTCTTTCAAATTTGGTAGGAATGGATGGTGTGAAATGAGTGAGATTGAAGAAACGAGCGACCTATTTACAGATGGAAAAAAAATATTGCAGGTTCTTAATCTGCATTGTTATAGGAAAAGGACATAGGTACCTTATCTAGATTCTGTAGATCAGAACATATTAGACTTGAACATATTAGACTTTATTGATTATCACAGAATCAAATGAAACACCATTCCCAAGTTTGTTATAAGAATGTTAATCAAGTAGATCAGTAAAACCAGGTAAGTAAAACATTTCACAAAAGATTATCTTTCGTTTTAGACTAATAATCTTGTTATAGATTTCTAGAAACTTAAAATTTAAGAAACTGTTTGCTCTCTCTGAAAAGTGGAAGTCTAAACTTCTACTGTATTGCTAGTTGTAGATTAATTTAGTGATTCAAATCCTATGCCCTTAATTCATGCGGCAAATCATTACTAAATATCGACTGAAATCCTGTTCAGGTTGGCATACCATAAAGTTACATATGCACAAGTATGCTGGGCCTTACACCCAGGCAACCAGAATTGTTCAGTCAATCATATGGTTCACAACACAGTTGTACAATGTGTTGCACAGTTGTCCAACATCCCTATGTAAGTGCTTTGTGGATGTTTTTCTGTCCTGCTGCAATTTTTTTATTGCTTCTGCAGATTCTCTTTATGCATGTGTAGCTGCACGATAGGGTTTTAGCCATTGTATCAGTAAGAAACAGCTGTTTGTATATTTAACCCTAACTATGCAAAAGGTGGAAATTCTTAAAATTTCCTGGGAATTGTTTTTATATTATTGGAAAACATGTTTTCTTTTGATCCGCACCATTTCTGTGTTTTTACTGCTTTATGTAATTACAGTGGTGCCTCGCATAGCGAGGTTAATCCGTTCCGGATTAACCTTCACTATGCGAAAACATCGCTGTATGGATCAAAAAAACCATTGGAATGCATTAGACATTGTTTAATGCGTTCCAAATGGTCAAAAACCCACCATACAGCGATGTTTTCCGGGTCTGGCAGCCATTTTCGTGCCCTCGGTAAGCAAGGGGAGGGCGCGAAAACGCTGCGCGCGGCCATTTCGGCCGTAGCGAGACCGTGGATCAGCTGTTCGGCGGGTCCAAAATGGCCACCAGAACAGCCGAAATGGCTGCGCACAGTGTTTTCGTGCCCTCCCCTCACTTACCAAGGGCGCGAAAACACTGCCCACGGACATTTCGGCTGTCCCGGCAGCCATTTTGGACCCGCCGAACAGCTGATCTGCGGGTCGCAAAGCGAAGGTCGGTAAGCGAAATGCTTACCGGTCTTCACTATGTGAATTTCGGCCATAGGGGCCGATGCAATGCCTTCACATTAGCGATCCCAGAAAAGGGATCACTATGTGAATTCATCACTATACGAGGTGCTCATAAAGAGAGGCACCACTGTATTCTTTTCAGGCCACTTCTTATGACTCTGTTTCACATAAGCCCCTTTTCTGAAGTTTTAGTCCTTTTACTCTTGGATCATTTAACTGCTTTGTTTGTTAGTTTAATACTTAACAAATAAATATATACAGTGGTGCCTCACTTAACGACGTTAGTTCGTTCCAGCAAAATCGCTGTAGAGCAAAAACGTTGTAAAGCGAAATAAAAAAGCCCATTGAAATGCATTGAAAACCATTCAAT